TTCTCTGCATCTGCGTTAGATTGTTCATTAACATATTTCAAGTATAATTAGTTCCCATCAAACTTACCTCACCTTCAGCGGTGAGAATTACTGATGGAGCTAAACTAGATGAGCGTAATCTGTACAGACGTAACTCTCTCTCCGGGTCACAGAGCGCATGTGGGCATGCTTGGGTGGTTGGTTGCTGTTGCTTATTATTATTACTTTGTATATTCAGTTATATATACTTGTGTATATGTCAGTAAATAGTAAGAGATAGGAGGATTCTAGCCCCTTAAGAATTTCTCAAAAATTGTTATTTTACTAATTTGCTTTTTTTGTGGAATGGCTCTTACCAATGCCCCTTTCTTAAGTGCATTTTCAGTTTCTTTAAAGATGCTGTGCTTTCAAAATTAAACTCTTCCATGTTATGCATAGAACCCCAACTCCTAGCTTTAAAACCTGGGGTTCAGTTTGTTATTTTCCAGGGAAATTCTGGGTATGTCTAGATTGAAGGATTTTAAGAAATCAAAAGCATTCAATTATATGATTTAGAAAACCCATTCCATTTTGCAATTCTAACTTACTTTACAGACCCACAGATAATCCTTCCCCGCTTTCTGTGGGGAAGAAAAAAACCTAAAAAACACAACCTAGATGCATCAGTCAGGGTTCTCCAGAGAAATAGAACCAATAGGGTGTGTGTATATGTGTGCATGTGCATGTGCACATGTGTGTGTGCGTGCACGCGTGTGTGTTACTTACCACCGGGAATTGGCTCGCATTGTTATGAAGATTGGCAAGTGCCAAGCTCAGTGAGCTGCAGACCCAGGAGACCAGTGGGGTGGTTCCAGTCCAAAGGCTGGCAGGCTCGAGACCCAGGAAGAGCCGAAGTTTAAGTTCAAGTCTGAAGGCAGGAAAAACAGATGTCTCAACTCCAGGCAGGAGGAATTCCCCCTTATTTGGGGGAGAGATCAGGTGAGGCACATCCACCTGAGGGTTTTATTCAGTCTCTCAGTGTAAATGTGGAATTCATCCAGGAACACAGACACACTCAGAATACTGTCTGACTTTACATGGCCCAGTCAAGTTGACACATAAAATTAACCTTCACGCCAAACTTTGCTGAGACAGAGTTGAAAACTTTTGTCTTCCTCTTTCTGCCCTATAGGTGGGCTCAGAATTCTCCCAACAGCCCACAGCTATTGGCTAGATTGGGCCTGAATAACATTATTTCATACAGTCTTTCTGTATCTCAGAAGGCGTTAGGATTTTTAGGGGTGTGTGTGTGTGTGTGTGTGTGTTTTAATGCTTTTCAGTACCCTCTTCTATACTCTTTTCTTTTTTGTTTATTTTTCCTGGCAGAGCAAATTGTACTTTCTAGCTCATTGGTTTTCATTCTGTTAACATTTGAATATTGCCCAGCCACCTGTTGAGCGGGGTGTGTGTGAGCTCGTAAAGAAACAAAATAGTAGAATGCACCACTGTTGCTATTTTTTTGGTGGCACATCTTCACTCTTGATCCATGTGGTCATGTCCAGGACCAGTCATTACACCGTGTCGTCAGGTGCTGAGTTGCTGGTGAAAATGAGAGAAACATCAATGATGAGAGAGAATCATCAGCTGCCTCCTGCACCGCCCCCCCCCCCCAAACTGGGGATCCAGCCCGCAACTTGGGCATGTGCCCCTACCAGGAATTGAATTGTGACCTCCCGGTTCATAGGTTGATACTCAACCACTGAGCCACACTGGCCGGGCTTGCCTTCCTCTCTCTTGACATGCCACCTTCCCCAGAGGTGATGCACGTCTTAAAATCCTCTGTCACAAGTGGGCAGTGCTTCCAGAGGAAGCGAGGAGCAGACTTAGCACCAGTATTTGTGGCCCCTACTTTCCGAAGACCACGTCTTAAAGCAGGTCAGTGTAGCCCGTGGCTGCGGAGGCACTGGAGGAGGAGGCAGGCCGAGTGGTCATTCTGGCGGGTGTGTGGCTGCTCAACGCCTCCCTCCCCCTGTCCCAGACATTCTTATTTCGGAAAGTACCGGACGCCTACCCCGGTATACTGCCTTGGAGCAACCCCCTCACTGTGGCCAGGAGCAGGAAACTCACGAGCCTTCATTCGCTTTTCCTGGGTGGCCCCAGTTTCCCCACATTACTGCTTGATTTGCCGATGGCCGGTTATTGAGGTCAGTCTGACTAAGGCGACTAGACTGCTGCAGGGCGGATGCCCCTCGCTCCTCATACCGAGCTTAGAGGAGTGTGTTGACACATAACTGAAAAGTGCACAGTTAAAGCAGGCTCAGGCATGGCTGGATCCAGGCGCTCATACCTGAGGACACCATGTCCCCCCAACGATTGGCCCTGCTTTCCTCCAGGTTGACTTCATTGCATGGGGGCAGGTTCAAGCCCAGAGAGATCTTACCTTCCCCCTCAATTGCCAACCAGTAGCTGTGGTTAGGGGCTGTAATATACCGAGTGCATTTGGACTGAGCATCCCTGGAGCCGGGGGTGGGATCCACTCCACTTGAGCTGTATGACTTTGAGAGTTGGGGTGGTACCTCCTAAATAATTCAGGGTGTGCTGTTAGGGGAAAAAGCACAAATAGATGCTGAGCAGAAAACGTAGCCGATGTCTGCCTTTTAGCCTTTAGGATCCATTGAAGAGTTTTCTACTTGTTAGGGGAGACTGAGCTACCGCTGGTTCATGGCACAAAGTGAGTTTGTGTATACATTTGAATTTGTTCATAAGACAACTACTCCCCTTCCCTCCCCAAACTTAAAGTGGCTTACAGGACTTCATAGTCTACAAAAGGTTTAGATATGAGTAAGTAAGGAAATTAGAGTAAAGAGAAAAGCAGGGTAAGCCCCTAAGATAAGACAGGAATAAGGTGACTCACAAATCTCAAAGCTGGCGAGCAGCGCCTGCAGTGCTGGTGAAAGTGAGCTGCTCATTCGGCTCTGAGGTTCCTGGTATGAAGAGCATCTAGACCTTGTACAGAGGGGTGTGTGTGAGTGTGTGTGTGTGTGAGTGACACTCCCTCCTAAGCCACAAGCCCCTGTGGGAGGACAGGCCCTGCGAGAGGCCATGAGAAGATGATAAAGATGATGCCCGTCTATGGTAACCTTAGATGCATGTCTTTTCTAAACTCCTGGGGCACTTGCCCTCCGGAACTTGCCCCTTTGCTCTCAGTATTGTGTTAGGAAACAAAGCGAGCAGACAAGGATGGAAACCTCTCTGTTGCTGGGTTCCTTCCAGGAACAATGGGCGGGTTAAACCGGTCACCTGTGGTGGGAGGCAGGCAGGTGAGTCACTGCTGTGACAGGGCAGAATGGGATCCTTAGTTGTACAGCGGGGCCAGTCCTGTGAATGGACTCATGCTTGCCTGGTGACTCACGTTCCTGTTTACAAATGAGCCACGGGAGTGCTGTGGGGACCGGGACCTCCGGGGTGGGCAGCCCTTCCATGGGCAAAACTCAGGGCTCCTGTCATTCAAAGTCAAGATGCAGGGACAGCTGCCGCCAGTGGAAGGCCCTGGAGGGACACCAGTTTATAGGTGACGTGGCCCCGTCTCGTTTGGGGAGTTCACATGGCCTTTGGATGATTTTGTTCCAACTGGATACTCCCCATGGGAGCATCGGGAAATATGGTAGCCAAGTAAATTATTCTAGAACCGTGGCTGCTGTTGTATAGATTTGTCCTTCGTGTCTATCGATTTTCCATCTCCCAGTCTTTAATACCCACTATGCTCATTGTGCTTTTTAGTGACTATCAGAACCTAAGATAGTGGGTCTTGTGCTCACTCTCATATTCTTCACTCTGAATTCTGTGACTCGGGATTAAGAAGGGTGAGCCATCTGTTCATGGGACCTTCCTTCGTATAAAACTTTTAAAAACCTAGAACAGGGGAGGTGTACTTCCTTTACAACGGGCAGAAAAGACATAGATATTTTCTTTCTGAAAAGCCAACTAGAATGATGCTTCTTTGTTGGGAAAGAGCTCTTCTCGGGCCTCAGGTCTCCCTCTACACCCCTAAGTTCTCTACACCATCCAGAGAGCAGCAGCCAGCATCTGCACAGGCAAACCCGTCTACACAGCAGCGCTGTGAGTTGACTGAGACCTGGTCCGTACTCCCCCTCTGCCGTTGACTAGCTGTGTGACCTTGGGCATGCTCCTTAACGTCTCTGAGTCAGTTTCCTCCTCTGTGAAGGGAGAGGGACAGGACCTACCTCAAGGGTGGCTGTGAGGTGTAGCGGAGGAACACGCACACCCCTGGCGGAGTAACAGGCAAGGAACCCAGGCAGCTCGCGCTCGGGGCTCCGGCTGGGTGGAGATTCGGGGCAGCACATTCCTTTTGGAGCACCTAAAGTGGGAGCTGCCAGACCTTCGAGTGGCGGAGTAACAGGCAAGGAACCCAGGCAGCTCGCGCCCGGGGCTCCGGCTGGGTGGAGATTCGGGGCAGCGCATCCTTTTTGGAGCACCTAAAAGTGGGAGCTGCCAGAACTTCGATGGGACTGGAGAGGTCCGTGCCATTGCTTCTCTCTCGAAACGATTGCCGCCTGGCAGAGGGAAAGGTGTTAAGACATCCCCAATAGCTGTAGGGGTGGAACCATATGTAACTGCATTTTTGTAGGGTAGAAATACTGCATGGTTTATGCTAATAGAAGATTCAGTAAGGTAAGTTGAGAGAGAGAGAGAGAGGCTAGCCAGCTGGCTCCCTGGAGGCCCAGAGGCAGAAGTGGCTGCGTGCATTGGGGTATCGTGTGCCTTGGGGTAACAAAGGGCAGAGGTGGGGGAGCGGGAAGGGATGCCACAAAGTCTGCATGGAGGAGGCTGTTACGATGCCACTGGAGGGGGTCCCCAGGCTGGATGGCAGGGAGGTGGACGAGCTCTGGGTTCGCTTCTCCTCGCGGGGAGCTGTAGAGGAGTGGGGTTAGGGTAGAAAGCCAGGCTGGGGCCGCGGATGCCTGGTGACCGCGCCCCCGCCCGCCGAGCCTCACTCTGTTCCCCTTTCTTCCCGGCCGCAGTGTCCCCTCCCTTGCTGCACTCAGGGCCACGACTGTCAGCACCTCTACCCCCCCTCAGACTTCACTGTCAGCACTCAAGTCTTCAGGGACATGAGGAGGAGCCACTCCTTACAAAAGGTTGGGGAGCCCTGGTGTTTGGAGGTAGGTCGCGGAGCCGAATGACGGTATGAGACGAGCCAGCCCCGACATGAACCCGCCCATCCAAAGTTTACCTGCAGCCAGGGCAGGGCCCATCCGCCACGGCCCAGCTTCCCGCCGGGTCACTGTCGTGTCGGGTGCCATGATGTCTGGGTGTACTGACCGCTGATGGGTGTATCAGAGCCATAAAGATGCCAGTTTACCAGAAGAGGGCGGAGGGCGGGGCTCCCGGGGACCCGAGGTGCCTGGCTCCCAGGGGCGGCCGGCGGTCCAGTGTCCTGCGTAGCTTCTGTGAGAGCGAACAGCACCTTATGCCATTAAACTTGACCCCCAGGAAATAAGTCTCTGCGCCCCTTTCCAGCTCCCAGTGGAGGAGGAGTTATCACATCCACTTCGCCTCTGTTATCAGTCACTTCGAACGCATAGCTTTTCCTTTGGAATCAGGGTGCCCAGGAAGGCTCCGTCCTCCGTGGGCCACCTTCCCGGGCAGCCACGCACAGCTTTCTTCACAGACCTGGCTCTCCAAGGACAGGGCGCATCGTCAGTTTCTTTTAAATAATTCAATATGTTGTCAATACCCCACACCGCTCCGTGCTCGGCAATGACAGTTCTCTTCGGATTAGTGGTCCCAAGGAATAAAGAACATCGAGAGCAAGCTTTCATCTTCAGAAAAGCAAAAGTCAATGCAGATGAAAATTTTAAACTAACTCTTTAGACTTAAACAGCAAATGATTTCGTACTAATGCTAGCTTTAAAAAAAAAAAGATAAGTGAATAATCAAGAGCCAATTCGTAAAGCCCTCTGCCTTTAAAAAGCATTTATTGTATACCTGTATATGCTGAGCGCTATGCTACGTGTTAGGGCTCTGAGGACAGAAACGGGCCTAGAGCATATTAACACGTGCCCATGTGACTTGCCTTTGGAGAGAGAAGGGGTGGACTAAGTCATCTTTAAAAGCTTGTTCTAGTTTAAGAAGTAGTACCTAGCCCTTTAAGAGAAGCAGAGACCTGGAGAAAACCATACAGAAGAAACGTAGGCACCCACAGGTTTTTTTGTTTGTTTGTTTGTTTTACCTGTTTATAATCTCTTCATTATTTGGATGCATTTCTTTTCTCAACATTCATGGGTCTAAACTTTAAAAGTCTTTACTCAGGTTCATGTTTTCTTTCCACTTGACATAGCACCCAGGATGCTATACACTCCCGTGTGTCTTAGCTCTGGTTGGTCACGCCACGGATTGGCATCTTATGGAAATCTTGCTATCTGACCCTTCCCCTTTGGCCAGGTGTGCGTGAAACAGAGGATGTTCTGGACTGTGCCTGGATTACCTGGATCCCAGTGCGTGTGTAAGCCCGTGTCCTTTAATTGGCCTGGGTCTGACAGAGCAGGGGGTCCCCCATTCTGTGCAGCAGCTGGGGCCAGATGCAAGCTTTTCCTCAGCCGCCCCTCCCTGGGTCATCTATTATAATAAAAGCGTAATATGCAAGTCAACCAAACGGCCAAACAGCGGAATGACCATCCGGATGACCTTCCGGACAAAGCCGGGGCTGTGAAGGCCCACTCTTGCATGGATTTCGTGCATCGGGCCTCTAGTCTTCTAGTCCCATCCGGACGACCTTCCGGACAAAGCCGGGGCTGTGAAGGCCTGCCTACTCTTGCATGGATTTCGTGTATCGGGCCTCTACTCTTCTAGTAAGTGCAGTGGTTCATTCTGACTCTGGATGAAAAGGCCATAGCTGTTCCTCCAGCAGGGCCTGCGAATGCTAACTCATTAATCTTTGGTCGGGGTTATGAGGCCGATAAAGGAGAACCAGACACCCATTCAGAGTCTGAGGAAAACGAAAGAGAAAGACTGGATTTCTGCCTGACCCACAGATTAGATCCCTGGCGCCAGCTCTGCCCCTAGGATGGGGGAACATCTCCTGGGAGAGTGCCAATATGTGCTGCTTCTGGGCTGGGGTCTAAATCTCCCACTGTGACTAGGTCAGGCACGGCAACACTACTCACGGGCTGTGTGAACTTGGCAAAGTTACCCTGCTGCTCTGCCTCGGTTTCCCCATCAGCGAAGGGGGATCCCACAGGGGCTGTTCTGAGCATCAAATGAGGAAGCCTGTAAAGTGGGGGCTTGGTCAGAGGAGCTGGTGTGCCTGGTCTGGCACAAGCACCCGGCAGGATTCTTAGGGGCTCGCACACAGATAGTGTGGCCATGTGATGGGCGGCCACTGCTGGGGCAGCTCAGTTGTGTAGCCGGCCTCCCATGCAGCCATTTCCAGAAATGTATACGGCTCCTTTGGAGTGTTTCCTACTGTGAGAATCGGGGTGGTGTATGGAAATCCCATCCACAGCACAGCACAGATGTGCTAGAGGAGGCCCTGGGTAGTGTCATGGAAACCGCACTCAGTTGGAGGCAGGACTGGGTGTAACCCCAATGTCCTCTCCCCTCTGTTGGCAACGTGCTTCACCCTCCAGGATGCAATCCCCGTGTGTGTAAAAAGGGATGGCAGTGGAGTACCTGCCCTGCTTCATGGGGACCTGTGAGGAGCCCTTGAAATCTGATCACAGTGATGTTTACCACACATTTTCTATGGTCCAGGTGTTTGCCTATGTTGAGTCTTCACAACCTGGCAGCAGCACTGAGAGGGAGGTACAGTGACTATTCCTTTTTGCAGAAGAACCACAGGGAGGTTAAGCAACTTGCTTAAGGTCACACAGCGAAGGGGCAGAGCCATGACAGACCCTGGCAGTAGCCCGTGGTTGGAACCTTCCTCACCAGCCATCTGCCACCTGCTAAAGGAGAAGGTGTTGGTGTTCAGTACCCCCAGCCTCCTCAGGAGCTGGACAGACTTCTCCTTCAAGACAACTAAGTCCCATTTTTTGCTCTACAAGTACCGTATTCTGGTACTTTATACCCCATCCATATTTAAGGTTCACTGTTCCTCCCCTTTCTTTCCTGCAGTTCAGCTGGATTCTTACTCTATAGTTCTCTCCGCCAGGGAATGAAGGTTGGTTGACCAGTTGAGTAAATATGACTAAGAAAGTCGATACCCACCTGGGCAGCATGACTCACTTCTTTCTAGTTAGCTATTCCCGTACCTGTTCACGCCAGCCGTACACAGTCATTACATTGGGGCTATTAACCGGTTTAATAGTGACAATAATAGGGTGTGACCCCTGGCATAAATGCATTCAGATAAAAAGCAAGTGTTTTTCCTGTAATTGCTTAGTCAATACCATTTTCACGGAAATGCTTGCAAACAATCTTTTAAAAAGTTCTTTGTCCCAGTCCTTCCCTTATTCCTTGCTTCCTTCCTCTTTGGGCCTCCGACACGTTTTTCCTAATCTGTGGAGATAAGCAAGATGGTGCACCGTGTCCCTTCTGAGGTTTTGGTTGACCCTCCTTTGTGCTAGTGTTGAGGCTATTTGTATCCCATGTTTAGGGATACATGAGTGTGTGTGTGTGTGTGTGTGTGTGCGCGCGCGCACGCGCGCGCGTGCGTGTGCGCCTGTGTGTTCAAGCGGGGGATCATTATTGGTGGTACTGGCTTATTGACCTCTCAACTCATACATTTAAGGAGAAAAGAGACTTCTGCTAACGTTGCAAAGCTAGTCACAGACAGGGAGTTAACCGTTCTGGTGGGAGGAAATGAAACTTTTCTTCGGTTTATTAGACCACATCCTATAAATCTGTGGCTTATTATATGTCTGATTTCTGAAAAGCATGGCATCATGGCCAAAGTTTTGTTTTTGCTTGTTAGTCATTGAAACAAATATAGATGCCGGTTCATTTCCTCGGCACCCTATTTTTCAGTACAGGTTATGTATGGAAACTCTGGGTTTTCACAACACAGTGCATAGAAGGGAAGTATTGGCTTTATAAATCTCCACTTTACAGCTATGGACCGGCAAGCGTTCCGTTAGGCTGAAATGTTTAATGTGCCCTCCCCCTCCCATGTCCACTGCGCAGAGGGCTCTGATATGTGGGGGCTTCACCGAGGCGTCCTGGTTACCTAGAGAAGCAGGATGAGAAAACAGCACAGGTACTTCTGGAAGGCAGCGTTCACATTTTGACAGACTTCCAGTCTTTTCAGAGATGTGTTTTAAAAATCATAGGTGGGCTCATAGCATATACACATTGTGTTCTGCTTATATTACATCGCTAGTCATAGATACACTTTCCTAGGTCTGCCCCAAAGACTCTTTGTAAAACCTCTAAGGGTTGACCATTCTAGAAGGGGGCGGCCCTCACTCTGCTTGGTCATCGCCTGGGAGCAAACAGACCACTTCTCGAGTCTCACTATTACGGTGCATCTCTCGTGGGTGCAAGTTGAAAATGATGAAGACAGAATGACCCGGACGTTGCAGAATGCCCACGTGATCTACATACCGCGGCTTAGCCCTGGTCCATCTGTGCAGGCGGGCCTGCAACTCAGTCCTCCCCCAAGTTCACTCTTGGAGTGGGATGGCTATGGGACCACCCATCTTATTTTATTTCTCCTCTCCCTCATTCTCTCTTTGCACAGCTTCTTTGTTGGAGTCTTAAATGAGTGCCCGAGTTTCCTCCGCCAATTCACTGCAGAACTGTAAATGGGTATCTTGGTGCCCAGCTTGGAACTTCCAGCACGTTGGCGAAATCCCATTCCCAGGGCATCGTGACCAGGCTGTAGCTCCCGCTGCCGATCGGCGCCCCCTACGTGATGGACACAGCTTGTCCTGCACTCTGCACTGGGGAAACAGTCCCAGAGCGGGAGAGGGTCACTCTGGGTCCTGTTGCCCCTGTCGTGTGCCATTCCTTGGACCGAACTCGGTGCCTGCTGTTCCTCTCGCTTCTTCCACTTTCCTTCCACCCTGAGAAGCTGGTGCAGGAGGTAGGAAGGGCAGACTGAGTGTGTGGAGATCCGCGGAGGAGCTCCATCCATGGGGTGGGTGGCGTGTCCTCTCGCCCTGGGTCCACGCCTCTTGGGCCGCCTGACATCCACCCAGCCGCCATGGGCTGTCTCACAGCT